TAAATGCAGCCTTGGTGAGCAGAAGAGACTTCTTTAAAACACATTAAAAATCTTAATGATCCCAAATTTTTGAACAGCAGTGTATATATATATATGGGACGTAACAATATATATAAATATATATATATATATAATTAGATAGATAGATAAAACATTACCATTAACATTACTAAACACAATGTGAGGGTGTCTCTAATACGGCGGCTGAAGGAATAACGCAAATTTAACATCTTCGTTCTCAATGCCATTGTTATTTAAGCTAATAGGAACACAAAAAGGATATTTGCTTCAGCATTCACCGCTGCAGAAGTTTCCCAATCTATGATGACTAACTATTAATTCTGCTTCTGCCACAGAATCCACAGAGAAAGCAGTCCGATCTGACTCATTCCCAGAGAGTCAGACGAGTTCCTCACGTTCATCTGCAGACGCTGAGATCAGATCCGATCAGAGCAGAGGAGCGCTTCATTATCATCATCTCTAAACCCTCAGCAGTGAAACATACTCAGAGGAGTATAACCCTGATCTTCAGCCGCAGCGGATGAGAAATACTCACTTCAACAGGAAACATGAAAGAAGCTGCTGCTTTTGATGTGAAACATGAAAGAGCTGCAGCTCAGAAGAACAGAGTTCAGCTCACGACACACACGGAGATCAGCAGAATCTGTCTGCATATGAAAACTGTGCTGCGCAGACGTCCAGATGCTGACAGACGCGAGAGTGAATGAGATCTGAGATCTACAGCGAGCACACGATCCGTTCCTGCCTTCAGATGAATTACTCCTGTCATAATATAACGATGTTCACTGACGAGTCACTGCTGAGGACTGAAGCGTCGGAGGATTTTACTCTGAAACTAACAGATCTCAGGGGCTCAGACTCAGAGTCAGGAAACAAATAGACCCTCACAAAGGTAAAAGATGAAGAATTCAAAAAGGCTTCCTCAGAAGTGCAGGGGTCAGCAGGGGTCACGACTCAAGGTGCTCTTTGACAAATTGAGGCCGGTAGTGGTTAAGGGTTCGACACCATGAAAAACCACGAATCCACCCAAAACACACAGACACACACACTCACCCACACAGACACTCACACAGTTCTCCTGACAGACAGACGGGTGTGTGTGTGTGTGTGTGTGTGTGTAAGAGTGTGTGTGTTAGAGAGTGTTTGTGTGTGTGTGTTAGAGAGTGTTTGCGTGTGTGTGAGAAAGTGTGTGTGTGTGAGAGTGTGTGTGTGTGTGAGTGTGTGTGTGTGTGTGAGAGAGAGAGAGAGAGAGAGAGTGGGTGTGTGAGAGAGTGTGTGTGTGTTGTGTGTGTGCATCACGTTCACTGCATCATCAGACTCACTCACCTTCACTCACAAACGCCTCCATTCTGTCTTTAAAGGGCTGCAGATGCTCTTCAGTCGAGACCGAGCACACCTTCTCCACCTCCGCAGTGCATGCTGGGAAACAACATTTACATTCAGAAAATAACCATCAAAAATAATCATGGAATGGAAATGACACACACTGGGCCTCATTCATCAAACACAAAGTTATGACTTTATAAATTGATTCTGCTTGTTTAATGAACAAACCCCCTTCATATTTACATTCAAAATGGCATTTATGAAAAAATATATTAGAATATTAGAAAGATTTCTGAAGATCATGTGACACTGAAGACTGGAGTAATGATGCTGAAAATACAGCTGCGCATCACAGAAATAAATTACAGTTTAACAGATATTCACATAGAAAACAGCTGTTTTACATTCTAATAATATATCACAATTTTACTGTATTTTTAATCAAATAAATGCAGCCTTGGTGAGCAGAAAACATTACAAAATCATACCAACCCCAACATTTTGACTGATAGTGTATAGTTTTCACTGCGTTGCATGTTAAATTTTAAAATTAAATTATATATTATATTGTATTATAAATATATTTAATTAAAAAAATTCACAATACACTGTTTCAAAGCAGCTTTACAGAAAATCATAATATCTTCATGCCTTATAGTCGCATTGATCAGATTAGAGCTGGACGTTAATGCTAATGCTAACACACACGATCACAGAATTCTGGAAGTTTTCAGCAGAGGAACGATCATTTTTACATGAATTTTCAGGTACGAACGAAACACCGAGTCATGTTCACGTCTGGAGATCACACCACACAAACACTCATCCCTCTGCGAGCATCAGCGTCTTTTTACCTCTCAGATCTTTCCGGAGTCTCAGCAGATCTTTAGTTAAGTCCTCAAACTTCATCTGAGAGGACTGAAACAGGTCGTGAGGTTCTGGGAGAGGAAACACACACGTCTCCCTGCCCGCGCACGCACGCACACAGACACACACACAGACACACACACAGACACACACACTGAAGGCTTTCTGAAGATGTTCTATTGTTCTATAAGAGCATCATAAATGAATCTCACCTCATCAAAGTGTCTCAGGTAGTAAGAGGCGATATATGACAGCAGACTCTTACTGTTATCCTGAAAATCACAGGAGAAAACACACGGATTAAATCAAGCAGTTAAGTGTGTGATCGCGTCTAAACTCTGTGTGTGTGTGAGTGAGTGAGCGAGTGAGTGTGTGTGTGTCTTACGCTGCTCTTGACATCCTTGAGTTTGGGCAGAATGTCCAGCGTGAAGCCATCCGCCTGACCTCTGGTGCGATTCCCTCCGTTCATGAAGTTCCCAAAGGCCAAAACTAAACCGAGAACCTGCAGCACTCCAGAACCGCTCAGAAGAGCCTGGAGAGAGAAGGCCAGAAACCAGACTCAGGGACAAAACCGGACTGCATGTGTGTGTGACGTCTGTTCTCTCTTATCCGTCATTATTGGACAAAACAACCTGAGGTTCAGAGCAAAGAGAGTCATCCGATTCGATTCAGTAAGCAAGCGAGTTGCCTTAAACATGGAAGTCTCACTGGGCCTCATTTCCTACAGAAACTAATTTATGACACTATGAAAAAATAATTTTTGCAAAAATTTATTCTGCTCATGTTTCATGAATGAAACAAATCAATGAGCGTGAAGCCATCCGCCTGACCTCTGGTGCGATTCCCTCCGTTCATGAAGTTCCCAAAGGCCAAAACTAAACCGAGAACCTGCAGCACTCCAGAACCGCTCAGAAGAGCCTGGAGAGAGAAGGCCAGAAACCAGACTCAGGGACAAAACCGGACTGCATGTGTGTGTGACGTCTGTTCTCTCTTATCCGTCATTATTGGACAAAACAACCTGAGTGAGTCAGCTGATTCGATTCAGTGAGCTGCCTGACTGATTCACACCAATGATTCCTGTGTTTGATTCACATTAGATTCACCAATTTGATTCAAATGAATCGATACAAAGACTGAACTGGTTTGTTGCCGTATGTTGACTTTTGCACGCAGTCAGACTGCGCAGACGTACCTTGCAGACTCTCTGCAGAATCTGGAGTTTGCGCTGAACAGATGAGATGCATTCAGTGAAGGTCGACTGAAAGAGAATACAGAAGACTCGTCCGGAGAAATCAGGAATCTGGGAGAGCTGATGGAGAAACCTGTGAGCATCAAAAATATATATTAAAAGCGTTGAACGCCAGGTGTGACAAGGATGTTTTGATCAATAAATTCAATCAGTTCCATGTTTATATGAACTGTGTGTGTGTTTTGAGCCTCACTGCTCAGGTTTGTCCAGAGGTTTGCTTGCTTCTTTGTCTTTTGAGGATTTGATGTGTTTCTCGATTTTCTCCAGCTCATCTTTCTGGGCTCTCTGAAACCACAAAACACAACCAAACTGTAAGTTCACAACTCAAAAACAGTGGTGCTTCTGGACAATGAGCTGACAGAATAAAACCGCGTCGAATGCAGATGTCTGTGCCTCACGGGTCAGAATACAGATCAGACTTCATTCTGATGGTCAAAATCTGCTGATCGTCTGTCAGAGTCACTGTATCTTACACAAATATGCACGCTGGTGTTCTTTGCGTTTAGCCACATTATTATTTGAGTTTGTTTGGAAGCAGAACAGAGTGTAATCAAAGTCACTAGAAAGCCAGAGTCCAATAAAAGCCACAGCGTCTTATGAGTTTCCTTCTCGCTGAGCTAAAGAACAGAAACGGAGTTTGGGGCCGCAAATTATGGAAAATGTGGTGTTGTGAAAGTACGACGCGACAGACAGATGGACAGACACAAATGATGGACAGATAGATGGACAGCCAGACAAATGATGGACAGATAGACAGACACAAATGATGGACAGATAGACAGGCAGACAGACACAAATGATGGACAGATAGACAGACACAAATGGACAGATAGACAGACACAAATGATGGACAGATAGACGGGCAGACAGACAAATGATAGACAGATAGACAGACACAAATGATGGACAGATAGACAGACACAAATGACGGACGGACGAACAGAAATGATGGACAGACAGACGAACAGAAATGATGGACAGATAGACAGGCAGAAAGACGGACGGACAGACAGACAGAAATGATGGACAGATAGACAGGCAGAAAGACAGACGGACAGACAGACAGAAATGATGGACAGATAGACAGACACAAATGATGGACAGATAGACAGACAGACAGACGGACGGACAGACAGACAGACAGAAATGATGGACAGATAGACGGGCATACAGACAGATGATGGACAGACAGACACAAATGATGGACAAATAGACGGACAGCCAGACACAAATGACGGACGGACGAACAGAAATGATGGACAGATAGACAGGCAGAAAGACACAAATGGACAGATAGACAGGCAGACAGACAGAAATGATGGACAGATAGACAGACACAAATGATGGACAGATAGACAGGCAGACAGACAGAAATGATGGACAGATAGACAGACACAAATGATGGACAGATAGACAGGCAGACAGACAGAAATGATGGACAGATAGACAGACACAAATGATGGACAGATAGACAGGCAGACAGACAGAAATGATGGACAGATAGACAGACACAAATGATGGACAGATAGACAGGCAGACAGACAGAAATGATGGACAGATAGACAGACACAAATGATGGACAGATAGACAGGCAGACAGACAGAAATGATGGACAGATAGACAGACACAAATGATGGACAGATAGACAGGCAGACAGACAGAAATGATGGACAGATAGACAGACACAAATGATGGACAGATAGACAGGCAGACAGACAGAAATGATGGACAGATAGACAGACACAAATGATGGACAGATAGACAGGCAGACAGACAGAAATGATGGACAGATAGACAGACACAAATGATGGACAGATAGACAGGCAGACAGACACAAATGACGGACGGACGAACAGAAATGATGGACAGATAGACAGGCAGAAAGACACAAATGGACAGATAGATAGACAGACAGACAGACGGCCGGACAGACAGACAGAAATGATGGACAGATAGACAGACAGACAAACGGACGGACAGACAGACACAAATGATGGACAAATAGACGGACAGCCAGACAAATGATGGACAGATAGACAGGCAGACAGACACAAATGACGGACGGACGAACAGAAATTATGGACAGATAGACAGGCAGAAAGACACAAATGGACAGATAGATAGATAGACAGACAGACGGACGGACGGACAGACAGAGAAATGATGGACAGATAGACGGGCAGACAGACACAAATGATGGACAGATAGACGGGCAGACAGACAAATGATGGACAGATAGACAGACACAAATGATGGACAGATAGACAGGCAGACAGACACAAATGACGGACGGACGAACAGAAATGATGGACAGACAGACACAAATGATGGACAGATAGACAGGCAGAAAGACACAAATGGACAGATAGATAGACAGACAGACAGACGGACGGACAGACAGACAGACAGAAATGATGGACAGCCAGACAGACAGACAACAGACATGCACTACGTCAGCAACAGCACCTCAAATCTATTAAATGTTGGAATGAATACGTTTTTGAACAAATCTAGTGAGTAAATGATCCAATGACTCATTAATAAAGACAGCAACTTGCTTCATTTCTGAATAAATGAGTGGTTTGAATGAATCAAGTGAGTGAATGATTCAATGACTCATTCATAAAGGCAGTCAAGCTTCGTTTCTGAATGAATCAGCCATCTGAACAAATCGGTTGAATGAATGATTCAATGACTCATCATTAAGACAGTGGTTTGCTGCCACCTATTGGCTCTTGTAGTTTCATATTTAGAGTATCATTTCATATTTCAATAATCAATATTTAATAAAAAAAACTATCATTCTTTATTGCAATGTTGAATCAAAATATTTATTTTCAAAATATTTCTTTCTAAAGCTACTTTTTCTATTCAATGCTTTTCTCATTTAGCATAATTATGACTTTAAATGATCTTTTGGGGGGTAATTTCAAAGCCAAAGCTGATGTGCGATTCATTTATGATTAAGTTTTCCCGTCTCATCATCCCTCACTAGGTGTGTAAGAGAATCAGACTTCTCTGCGCGCAGAACAAATACCTTCATAAACAAAGCAGCCGACATCAAACAGCCCCGAGACGCACAGCCGAGCGCCGTAAGGCCATCAGGAAGGTGATCAAAGACAGAAAACGTCTCTCTCGCTCTCAGACACAGAGAAAAAATGAGGCTAAGACAAACACGTTCATTCAGGAGAGTGTGTGTACGGCTCAGGCGTGAATATAAACTCTGGAAAAGTCTCAGGCTCCATTAAGAGTCATCAGGAGATCCATCACAGCACATATACACACACACAGCACTTCAAACGCAAGATTAGACGCCACGGCCGCGCTCTGCATCCCATTTACTGCGTTTTTAAGTGTAAATACATTTAATATGAAGCAGCTTTCAGCGCTCAAACACTCAGCCTTCAAACACAAAGGCAGATATCAAAAGACAATATACAGATACGACAGCGAGCGGCAGGACTGACATCTGTACACGGGCCAGACTGGAAACTCGCACTCATAAAAGCAGGGAAAAACACATTAGCGCGATCATTAGGTGCATTACTGCAGTCTGACTGTATGTTGTTTTTTTTTGCCATTTGAACAGGTCTGGATTCCATAATTACGGCGTGAGCCAGACGAAAAAATCTTAATGTTTCTGCCTCCGCCGACAGACAGACTCTCAGAAGACTGAATCTGAATCGAATTTTAGGATGTTTCAAAGTCCTCTAATGATTTGGCAAAAGCAGCTCGCATCCTGAAACAAAAGCGTTTTTTTGCTTCATTAATTAAAGCACATGACCGAATGTTCTGCTCAAATGGGGTCGATTTCATGCATGTTTTTATGAGACATAGCGTTCATTCCTGCAGTCAACTTGTTTTGACATTAAAGGGGTCATATGATGCTGCTAAAAAGAACATTATTTTGTGTATTTGGTGTAATGAAATGTGTTTATGCGGTTTAAGGTTAAAAAAACACATTATTTTCCACATACTGTACATTATTGTTTCTCCTCTATGCCCCGCCTTTCTGAAACGTGTCGATTTTAACACAGGATTGTGCATGTGAAGATTTGCAGACACTGTGTTTGATTCTAGAAATGTGAGTTTTCCAGACATCCGGGAACATTTCGTCTCATTCTCATACTGTGATTTAGACTACAGATTAGTGTGAGGTTTCTGATATTAAAGAGGTCATGAAACAGAGAATCAACATGTTCTTCATATTTACACGAGAGGTTACTCATGCGATCATTTTTGGTGCAGAAACTTTGCAAACTTTAAAACCAACCTCGAGAAACACTGTGTACAAACCTGAAAACGCATTTCATGAGCTCTTTAAATTCCTGCATGATATTTTACACTCACCTCATCACTAAACACACATTCAACAAAACCATCAGAATGCAGACACAGATGCACACAGATGTGCCGTATGCACTTAATGATTCTGCATTATAAATGTTTGTATTTTCATCAGAACAAGTGAAGGTTTCTGCAGCACATGTTTGGCATGGTCTGAGGATTCTTTCATGTCTGAAGCCCTAAAAATGTTACGAGCACGTTATATTTTTAGGAGACTGTTCTAAATATGTAGCATGAAAACAAAACAAGAATCTGCAAAAAGCACAGCAGCAGAAGGAAGGAGAGAGAGAGAGAGAGAGAGAGGATCTGCTTACATTCTCATAGAGCGCCTGTAACGTCTCCAGATCAACCACAGTGTTATCCAGATTCAGGATCGCTGCACACACACACACACAATCAGATTAAACATTAGACAGGAATCAGCAGCTGAAGCAGATTAAAAAAAACAGTTATCAGACTAAGTAGCCTCATATCCCTTTAAAGTTCAACATTAATGATTAAAATAATTGAAATTAAATTCATTTAATATTCATAAATATTTATAATAAGCAAAATATACGCAAAAACAATAAAAAGTAACAGGGCTGAGTTTTAGTTCATTTATGGCGCTTTTCCACTGCGTGGTACGACTCAGTACGGCACGGCACGGTTCAGCTCGGCACGGTTTGCGTTTCCACTGCAGTTCAGTACCGCTTTAGAGTGGGCGGGATTATTCACATGTCGTTATAGTTGCGCCGCCTCTACTACCACGACTCCTAAAAAAACCTTTTTCATTCCGCGTCGCCCCATCAAGCTCTCGCTGGATCCGCTCCTCTGCTATCAACGAGAGGAACGTCTGTTCTTCCGCAACAGACAACAAAACTTTTTGGTTGTTAAAAAAGGTGCGCTCGTTCAAAACAGTTGCGTTCGATCCTTCGCTGGCTGTGCTGATTTAAATCTAGCGGTTCTGTTGTGTTTGTGTCGCAAGTTCAGTGACGCAGGTAGTGACGATTCTCTCCGGCCAATCCGTGATCAGCAGAGTTTACACGTCACGTTTTGGTAACGGTACGGTTCACTTGGAACCCCAACCGAAGTGGTACTAAAAAAAGTACCAGGTACCAGGTACTGTACCCAGTGGAAAACCCCCAAAAAGTGAACCGTACCGAGCCGTACCATGCAGTGGAAAAGCGCCAGTAGAGATTAATAGTCTTCGGTTGCAGATCATGACAAGAATATTATTAGAAAATGTAAAGCTTTTAACAATATTTGACAAATGGTAACAGGGTTGATTATTTAAAGATAAAAAAAAAATAAAAATAAAATAAATCAAATCAAATCAAATAAAAAAAATTAAATAATTTTTTTCACTTTTTATTTTTAACAACATTTTACAAATGGCAACAGGGTTGATTATTTAAAGATAAAATAAAATAAAAAATTTTTTCCTTTTTGTTTTTAAACGCATCAAAAAAGTAAAAAGTATGGCAAAACTTAATTTTATTAATGAGGAATTGATGGATGGTGAAAAATGTCTATGGCAAGTGGTTGAAAAATAAACGGTGGAAGCAAAAGCATCACAGCCTTCAAAAGCTGCTCTAAAATGTGACGTTTACGTCTGTGTGATTTTAACAGCTCTGAGTGTGTATTAGGAAGTGAAGCGGCCCGTGTGTGATGAACACCATCATGACGTCACACGTCTGCGTTCGATTTGAGCTTCAGGACATCATACGACAGACGAGGCCTGAATTCCTCTCGCTCTCTCATACACACACCAACACAAACCATGTGCATGAGCGCTCGCAAACACATAAACACACTGATTAGATGGAAATTAAGCACAAGTTCTGCTGGCATTCCAAGCACATTTCTGTCTGAGACGAGAGACATGAAACACACGAGTCCATCCGACCAACATCCCATCATAACATGACTCTGATATTACAGCAACATCACATTCATGCTGCAGTGTCATTTTACACTTAAAGACACTCGTCTGGATCATCTGTGAAACAGACAATTACACAGCAGCAAATGGAACAATGTTTTTACACTTTTAAATCTGAATGTTATTTTAAGTAGGAGTTTGTCTGCTTTATGATTAAGTATCATGCCAGCTAAAACGGCATATTAATGGTGAGAAAAAAATAAATAAATAATAAATAAAATTGGTAAACTTAATTTAATTTATTTTAAATTAATTACACTTATTTTAATTTAATAAATACAATAAAATTAATAAATTAAAACAATAAAAAATAATTAATTAAAAATAAACAAACAGATTAAATAAATAAAAGGTTTTTTAAAGTTTCATAAAAGTTCTAAAATCTTAAAATAGCTAAAACAACATTATACAGCAGCAAATGGACCAATGTTTTTACACTTTTAAATCTGAATGTTATTTTAAGTAGGAGTTTGTCTGCTTTATGATTAAGTACAATGCCAGCTAAACCGCGTATTAATGGTGAAAAAAATAAAATCAATAATTAAAATCAATAAACTTAATTTAATTCATTTATTTTATTTATTTATTTTAAATTAATTATATTTAACCATTTTAATTTAATAAATTAAATAAAATGAATAAATTAAAATAATAAATAATAATTAATTACAAATAAATAAAAATAGATAGATAGATAGATAAATGAATGAATGGTTTTTTAAAGCAATAAGCTCCAAGAAGCCGTGGTTTCACGTCGTGCCCAACAACGCCCCTTAGCTGTTATAAATTCACTGTAAACCACGGCTTCACGGGGCTTATTGCTTTTATAAAACGGTTATTCCATATACGTAGTAAGGTTTCACAAAATAAAACCGAGCAAATAAAGTGTAATGATATTAATAAAAACAGTATTCTTCCACCAAACAATGTAGTTCCTCAGAAACAGTTGTGGTTGCAACAAAGTGGTTGCCGAGCAACACACAAACGTAAACAAAGGTGTATGTTACTTTGTAGAGTCATTTACAACAGCTTCGAACGTGGCTCAGCCAATCAGAATCAAGCACCGGAACTACCCGCTTTATAATAAAGTTTTATAAATGTTCTAAAATCTTAAAATATCTAAAACAACCTGTAAATCTGGCCTCACGTCATTAAAAATAGTTTATTTTAAGTGGGTGCCCTGCAGCACGATTGATTCCTCAAATCATCTTTGAAGGAAGATATTTATAAAAACAAGTGCAGCAGTGATCTGAATGCCTGAGTTTGTTCAGAGGAGGTTCACGTTCAGGGTCCACCAGAGCCGCAAACCACCGTCAAACACCAACAAACATTTAACTCTGACTACAGAGTAAATACATGGTAAGAATGCAGTGAATCAGATTTACAAGCACACATCTGGATCAGAGTCAGTGCAGAAGGGCTTCATGTTCAATCTTACAACAATATGAAGAGGCAGAATAACAGAAAGCTGTGCATTAGAGGAGAAAAAGACAGACGGTTCTGACCGTGCTGAATGTCCTTCATGTCGAGATGTAAACTGGACATCAGGATCCCCACGGCCTGAGAACGCTTGGTGTTCAGCAGCTTCACCACCTACAACACACACACATACGCACAGACAGACACACACACACACACACACACACACACACGCGCACAGACAGACACACACACACACAGAGACACACACACACACACAAACAAACATTAAATCCCATCGAATGTGAGAGTTAATAAACCACTTTGAGGTGCTCTATTATCAAGTCACGTATTAAAGATGCTGTCAGACACAAAGATTGAGATTTAGATGAATTGCTTCCAAATAATGTGAAGCTGTGATCCTCACATTTATTCAAATATGTGACCCTGGAGCACAAAACCAGTCATAAGGGTAAATTTTTCGAAATTGAGATTTATACATCATCTGCAAAGCTGAATAAATAATATTTCCATTGATGTGTGGTTTGTTAGGATCGGACAATATTTGGCTGAGATACAACTATTTGAAAATCTGGAATCTGAGGGTGCAAAAAAATCTAAATATTGAGAAAATCATCTTTAAAGTTGTCCAAATGAAGTTCTTAGCAATGCATATTACTAATCAGAAATTAAGTTTTGATATATTTACGGTAGAAAATTTACAAAATATCTTCATGGAACATAATCTTTACTTAATATCCTAATGATTTTTGGCATAAAAGAAAAATGTATAATTTTGACCCATACAATGTATTGTTGGCTATTGCTACAAATATACCCCAGCGACTTAACACTGCTTTTGTGCTGCAGGGTCACTTATAACATGACTTAATGTCGGATGAGTGCGAGTCAATCCTCAGACCATTAGAGCGTCTGTGTGTGTAATTGCTCATTACGTCTTGATTTGACAGGGAAAATCAAGGGAAAAGCACTCTTTTATTGCATGAACCCTGAATAGGTCACATTACAGCACAAAACGCAACAATTACCAACTGCAGGCAATTAGACCAAACAAAACAAGCTACTCTATCAAAGAAGAATGTTGCTGGGTAACTCCTGACAGATACGGAAACGAGTCGCCAATTATTTCACTCATTAATCCGTCATGTTTAAAATATGAGCCAAACACGGCTGCTTTTAGCCAGCTCAAAATCAGTAGACTATTTCTGCTTTCTGAGTCCGGCTGGAACTGAAGAATCATTAGTTCATAAAACAGTCATAACTTTTCAGCCAACATCATATTTGTATCTGATCAGCGACTTCTCATTAACGAGTGAACGTCAAAAACTGAAGAAGTTTTAAATGCGGCAATGTTATTACCTCTTTTATAGAAATTAAAAAAAAGAGAGAAATTATTTGAAATTATTAATTACTCATTAACCACAAACACACAAAAACTTTTTTTTTTTTTTTTTTTTCCAATATTGATGAGAAAACTAATTTGAATATATCTATATTTTATGAAAATTATAAGAACCTATAATCTGAGAATTACCATTCATTCCCCATTGGAATGAATTAATAGAATTGAATTGCTCAAAAACAGTCCGAGGTTATGAAACCTACATACATATTTCTAACAAAACATGAAAACAACAAATATAACTCTGAAAAGTTTATGCAAGTAAAATAATTTTTTTTTAAATTAAAAAAAATGTAAAAAAATTTTTTACTTGCATAAACTTTCAGATGATAAAAGCTATCGGTTTTTCGTGATGCAATGGTTCATCAACAGATGACATATTCATGTTCATCAACACAATTCAGTCCCAAGAGTGTGTGAGATATGAGGAAAAGGAGAAATACGTTTTACAAAAGTTTTTGACACTAATATAACTTCATAGATAATTTTACAAAAAGTATTTTTGGCACCTAACGTGCTCCATACAAACCCGGGTCAAAATGACCTGAACTCAAAAATAGTTAAGGGTGCTTTCACACTTGGTTCGGTTGCTTGGTCCGAACCAGAGTTCGATTGCTCCCCCCTCCCCTGCCCCCGCTGGACTGTGTTCACATTATATTATTTGGGTCCGAACCGCGGTTTGTTTGCGTCATAAAGCCAGCAGCTGTTTACCCCGTTGCTTAGTAACGATGGCGCAGGAGAAGACGGCAAAATTCGTAGCAAGGCTCTCTTCAATTTTATATTTATGCTTTTGAACCGTTGGTTTTGTTTCCAAAGCTTCAGTACATAACGGCACTTACGTCTGCCTTACGAATGTACTGCAAATGCTCTAAAGTACTCTGAAGGCGAACAGAAATGAGATATACAGCTCTCTGTTTGCAGCGCGTCAGGAAAGTGAGTGAAACACACACAAACACACATTTTTATCAAATAATACGTCATTAATAGCGGTTCACTTCCGTGATTTGGTACGATTGCGTTCACATCAGCAGCGAACCGTACCGGAGTTCACTTGAACCGTACCCCAGACCACCCTTTTTAAGCGGACTTGGGTACGGTTCGCAGGTGCGCACCCGAGTTCGTAAGACAGCGTTCACATCATCCAAACGAACCGAACTCTGACGTCAATCGAACCCGGGTGCGCACCAAAAGTGCTAGTGCGAAAGCACCCTAAATCTCTTAAAACACAATTTTAACTCTTTCCCCGCCAGCGTTTATGAAAAAGTTGACAGCCACCGCCAGCATTTTTGCTGATTTTCACTAAAAGTTCATGACCCCCACAATACTTTGTTTTATGATTATCTGAACATGCAATACATCAAAAATAAAGAACAGAGCCTCTACTTTTAAACAAAAACATCAGTTTTATTCTAGCTTCAAGCATTCTTTTTTATCAACACTTGAATGTAGGTAAGTTTTATAAAAAAAGCAACATTTTGGAGCAAAAAGCAGAGAAAATCACGTTTTTATCAAATACTACATCTGGATCATATTCAGTAGGATGATCCATCAACACCCCCAAAGCTTCACAGTCCTGAACCACTTCCTGGATCGACATTTCACATGCATATGCATATATACGAGATTGCTCGTTTCTGCGTCTTCCTCGCATGTGTTTTTGATCAGACTCATTAAGGAGATGCGTATAGCGCCTAGGGTTGCAAAGGGGTGGAAAATTTCCGGCAAATTTCCAAAAATCCCTGGAATATTCCCAAAAAATCCTGGAATGTTTCCGAAATTTACTGGAAATTTGCCACCTTTTTGCAACCCTAATAGCGCCCCCGAGCGAAAAACAGCGAGAATGCAGAAACCCGGAAAATTCCATGTTTGGCGGGGAAAGAGTTAACACTATCTGGGGGGGGGGAAATGACGTGCATTTTGAGGGATTTAAAGCATGCATTTTTTAGACATTTTTATGCATCTTCCAGTCAAAACAGATCCGAATGTGTAACGAGGGTTAAACAGAAGCAGCCGCTGATGTTTCTCAGATGACCTCCAGACGCCTCAGACATGACGAGAGCATCACTGGAGGACACGCGTCTCCATTAAAACATGTTCAAATGCAGCCGTACCGCAAACTACTGAGAACCTGATGAACAACACGCCTCATATTTCTCTACAAAAACTTATAAAAGTATATTTTTCAATACGGGAATCGGTGCTGTACACCTGGATCTAGAGAAATCAAAAATTTTACATGTTATTAATTTTATTTGTAAATTAAATAATAATAATAATAATAATAATACATAAATGTATTTATTCATGTAGAATTCAACAGTGCAGTACATTGAATTTTTTAATTTGTAACAATATTTATTATTTTAAAATGTTTATATATATATATATATATATATAGGGAATACATTTTTAATTGTCATTAAAACGATGCCCTAAAAAACAACAACTCTGATTTCACTAACGATGAGAATCAAGTATTTCAGGACTATTCTGATTTTCCGCATTGTTTTGATGACAATTAAATGACAATCTTCCCTGAACTCTCATTAATGTAATGCAAAAAAATCCCTCAAATAACACCGACAGCTACTGAGCTGAATTGAGCTTTCCAGCTGAAACTGAATGTGTTTCACAACATTAACACTGTTATTTTCCTGTTTATTACCATGAAGCTGCTCTGCATCGAAGCTTGTTTCTGCCACGGGATAATAATAACTTTTTAATCGCACAACTCTGTCTTTTTTTCTTGATATAAAGTTGCAATTTTTGAGCAGAAAAGTTGAAAACGTGAGACAGAAACTCATATTGTGTGATATAAACTCACAATTGCATGATAAAGAATTCTAAGTTTCTCACAAATATTAATTTATATCCCGAGTTTTTCTCAGAACTGAATTGAAGTTACGATTACCTCTGTTTTTTTTTTTTACCCTGTGGCGAGTTTCTATAGCTCTGAAACAATCTATACTGCATAAATTGCTATAGAAATAACTTTGACTTGACATAAGTCAAAAAGAAAAAAGCCTGTGAGTGAGCCGCAGACAACAGCTCACCTGCTTGGTCTTTGACCTGCTGATGGTGTCTGAAAGAGGCTTCTTCTTCACTTTCACTGCTGTTTTGGAGAAGAGTTCGACAAACTCCTCAAAATCCACGGATGGCTCCTCGATCTTCTCCCAGACGACAGAATGAGAGTCCCTGCGGAGGAAAACACCTGCTTTACCAACAAATTAAATCACGTTATGATCTCTGCAGCTGAATATGAATCCAAACTAACATTAACTGCTTTTAATTTAGTTCATCTGATTAGTGATTGGTCAGTGGTGTCATGCTGTAAACTGTGTAATTAATCATTTCCTCCATCGCTCTGCTCATTTAATGTCTCTCGTATCACAACACACTCTTTCTGCTCACAGAATTAAATCATTTACACTCTAATCAGTGTTCACTGTGAAAGACTTCATGTTGTGGGCGGTTAGCGACGTTGCTAGGGCACGGCATCCTGGTTGCTAAGGTGTTTTAGGTGTTTTGTTTCTGTCTAACACGAAAAGTGAATCTGGTGAATCACACACCCCAAGTGCAGGTAAAACAAATAAATTAATGCAGTATATTTTAATTAATGTCAGGACTATTACATTTTTTTGCACTGATGCCGTTATTGACAAATTAAAAAATTCTCCCCTGGACTCTAATGAACTATGCCACAAACCCAAACATAATAATTAAAAAATAATGAAGACTTAAAAAAAAAAAAAAAAAAAAAAAAAAAAAAAAAAAAAAAAAAAAATAAAATCTCACACACATTCAACGTGTTAAAGATGAAACATTTGCATCTGTTCATCATTTACACTAATTTTCACTGATTGTGTAACTCATGCTATAATGGGTGGTTAACAGGGTGTTGCTAGGGCACTGCATCCTGGTTGCTAGGGTGTTCTAGGTGCTTTCTTCCTGTCTGGCATGAAAAGAGTGATTTTCTGGTCTGTAGATATTCCTATATTGTATTTTTTTTAAACTTGTTTTATGGTTCAGTGTGCGAAAATCTTATCACTCAAATCACTAACTACGAGCACTAGGGAGCAATAGTGATGCCTCAAACACCACTAAAAACTACAGTAACTATGGTATATTTTGGCCTTCAGCTTGGTAATTTGAGTAAATAAGTGCAAAATAAAGAAATGACTGTAAAAAAGTGAAGCAGTGCAGTACTTTTTGGTGTGCAGCTGAATGCGAGTCCAGTACAGCGGTTTCATGGGTCTCGGCGGCTCCACCCAGCTTTTGCGAGGAGGTTTCTCCTGCGCCGCTCCTAATGCGTACAGACCCAGCGGGAGCGGCGGAGGCAGAGAACCCAAACCGAAGGCCAGTGGAGGACCAGGAGCCAACGGCAGAGGACCTGGAGGAGGAGGAGGTGGTGCTGATCCTGGTAGAGGAGGAGGTGCACCCATCATTCCCGGGAGAGGAGGTGGAGGAGGAGGTGCACCCATCATTCCCGGGAGAGGAGGTGGAGGAGGAGGTGCACCCATCATTCCCGGTAGAGGAGGTGGAGGAGGAGGTGCACCCATCATTCCCGGGAGAGGAGGTGGAGGAGGAGGTGCACCCATTCCCGGTAGAGGAGGCGGCGGAGGAGGAAATGAACTGCCTGGGAGAGGAGGAGGTGCAGGAAGAGCGCTCATTCCTGGAAGTGGAGGAGGAGGAGGAGGTGCACCCATCCCGGGTGGAGGAGGAGGCACCGAAGCGCCCGGCTGCTGCTGGCACATGCACACAAACGCTTGAGAAGCAGTCTCAGTTTCTGAGGGCAGCGAGGAGTCGCTCCTCCCGGGCCCCTGCGCCTCCACAGGAGGCACTTTAAACCTAAAGCTCTCCTCCATGGGAGACGTCTGCACCGATTTGGCCTCCAGCGGCAGCAGCGCAGTGTTCTCCGTCTGCAGGTCCACATGGCAGACGTCCGGGAGGAGGCGCTCCTCTGCTCCGCACTCCTGGTCCTGCGTCAGCAGCTCCTCCCGCTCCAGCAGGGGCTGCTGTTTCTCCAGCTCGGCGATCTTACTGCGCAGGTCTTCGATGGTCTGCTCCAGCTGCTCGATCACGCAGACGTGCTCCTGCTTCAGATGCACCGTCTTTATCACCGACTCCTCCTGCAGAGAGACAGAGACAGGCGTGATGAAAAGCAGACGAACGCCGCAGACAGAAACAGACATAAACCTGGGTTTCTCTTCCACTGGATTCCGCGAAGTCACACGCGTATGTGTGACGCGGTTAAACGTGTTTCCTGTGGGAAGAAACCATGCTGAAGCGTGGACAGAACTGATGAGGAGCAGCTGCCTTCAGACTCCAAACACGACAATAGATGCCCGCAATCCTCCGAATTCAGGAGACTCCACAGGACCTAATAGAGAGCAGCACACACTGATGTTTAATGAGAAACACTGAGAGAAGTGGCTCTGACAGACGTTTTCTAATCGCTATACACGATGCAAGGCTAATATTTAAATATATGTATGCATTTTTTTTATAAAAAAAATAAAATGCTTAATTTTTTAAAAACTTTATTCAAATAAAAATAAAACATTTACATAATTAGATAAAATTAATAGTTAATAATAAGCATAACAGAGTAAGGTATTAATAATTTACATCAACAATTAATTGTGTATACTCATAATTAATGGCTAATTGTGTGTAAAAATTCACAATATATTATAGTAATTATTTTATATTTAAATATGATTTATATTATCAATTATTTATATAAACATACTAATGCAATTATTAGTCATTAATTGTGTGCATACAATTATTAATAATTTTATAATAATTATTTGAATTTTATTTAAACAAAAACAAAGCATTTACATAATCATATTAATAGGTAATTAAATACATTGTACATTATATGTAATGTAAATTAATACAATTACTCATAGTAATAGATTTAATAATTGTATATACAATTTTGTGTGTATACATAAATATAAATTAGAAAAAAATAAATATAAATTTAACAATAATTTCTATTAATAAAATTAACTGCAACAATTATTGAATTAAATTATATTTGATAAAATTATTTAAAGCATTTACAAAATTATATAATGCTAATAGGTAATTATATATGCATGTAATATAATTATTTATATTATAATAAATGTGTATACAATTGTTTCAATTAATATACGAATTAATAATTGTGTGTGTGTGTATATATACAGTATATATATATAATTTGAAAAAAATCAATTTTATTTAATTATTTATATCAATATAAAATTTTATTTAAATAAAGCATTTAGTTATATGTGTGTAATTATTATAATTAATAATTGTGTGTATGCATATAATATGAAATAGTGTAAAAGTATAGAACAGAAGGTCCACTAGCTTTCTATAGTAGTACAGGTCTGCGGGACTGAAGTGTGCAGTGATGCTGCCCTCTGCTGGTCGAGCACAAGCACACTTCTCCTGAGGTCATGACACATGTTTATTTTCTGTTGCTGAAATCAAACAAACTCCGGAATGATTAAACATCAGTCCAGCAGCAGGGCACTGAAACAAACAACACAATCAGCCCAATAACCTGCATGAGTGAGTATGGAGCGCTTATGGAAATGAGATGAATTAATCATGAGACGAGCTTCTCACGCATCCATCAGCTCCAGACAGACGCTTTCTGCATTTAAAGACTAAAGCATGAGGACGTGTGACGATGCTGCTTCAGCTTCAATATTATACAGTACCATGGTATTACCATGCTTCTTGGACATATATATAATACCATGAGTAAAGAGGATGTATTTTCATTTAGACGTTAATATGGGGGGGAAAAAACCAAGGGCCTCTGAAAGATGAATGACAGACGCACCTGAATCAGCCGGATTTCTTCCTCCTGTTGTTTCTTAAGGTCCGAGACGACGGCCTGATGCTCTGAAACACACGGTGCAAAACACTGTAAAACTGACTGAAGCTTCAAAACAATCACTTTCATTCTGCGAGCTTGTTTTAATCACATCTAGTAACTTCATGAGCACTACTGAAGGATGGACGCAGATGCTGTGCATTAGTTTTGTAAAGAAACCGATATTTAGAAACAATTTCATAAGCATTTATAATCAAAAAAAGATTTTTAATATAAAAATACAAAATATATAATAAATAAATATATAAA